CACATATTTTACTTTTGATGGAAAGTTATACGAACAAACACAAGGACTTGCGATGGGATCTTGCCTGGCTTCCATCTTGGCGAACAATTATATGGCAAGACCACAGGAACACTTTCTGCAAGAGGCAATACTAAACCCCAAATTGTTGATGAGATAAATGGATGACAATTCTGCCATCTGGCCTCATGGTAGGAAATATTTAGATAGTTTCTCATTTTCACTCAACCAGCGTGAAAGGAACATTAGGTTCATGATGGAAATAGAAGAGAGTAAGTCTTTATCTTTTCTGGACGTTCTCATCATTAAAGAAGAGGGTAAGTTAGAAAGAGATGTTTATAGGAAGCCAACATATGATGGCCCTTTGCTTAATTTTCTTTCCAACCATAGTTACAAGACTAAGGTTGGAATTTTGAAGTCAATGATTCTTAGAACTTATGCGGCTAGTGGATAGCAAACATTTGACTAAAGAGTTGCAACGGCTGACAAATATATTCCTGGAAAATAATCATCCCTTGGGCCCTATTGAGAATAATATCTCTCTACTGAGGAATACATTTTCAGACGGAGACAATGTAGTCAAAGATAGACAGACTGAGACATTTTTTCATGTCCTAATTTTGCCGTCATGCCTTCTTTCAAAAAAGATAGGTGAATTCGTAAAGAAGTGGGGCATAAAAACAGTGTTTAAAGCAACCCTAACACTTTCTTCTGTTATGCCATCTTTTTAGAGAGAAATATGATCCATTATTGAGATCTGGCTTCTACAAGATTGTTTGCTCATGTGGTCCATGTTATGTTGATGAGAGATGCCGACCAATTCGACAAAGATTGTGAGAACACAAAAAATGCTTGTAAAGGAAGCTGGGTCCAACGGTGATAAGTGGCCGAACACATGGTAGAAACTGGACATGAAATTAAATGGTTTCAATCTAGTAAGTTTGGTGATTATGGTACGTCTGTGGTTAAAAGAAAGATAAGAGAGACTATTTAAATTAATAGCTCAGGAAATACGGTTAATGCGAGGAACGGTGGTAGAAAGTTGTGTAGGAACTATTTATGCTTGATTGATAGATTGAAGGAGAGAGAGATTACGCAGCCCCAGTCATGCCTTCCCTTGGAAGTCAAACGTTAATGGTTCCAGATTGAGAGGTTAGGACAAGTGGTTTCGTAATTTGGCTTACATGCTTACAAGCTCATATCTTATTATCTCAACCATACTTGCCTACGGACTTACGCAGTCTCGGTTAGGGCTTTCTCTTGTGTTATTAGGCCTTGATTGTCAGAGCCTGACATTAGCCTTTTGACAACTCTGATTAAGGACCGATATTGGGTATAGATGCTAACACACACACACACACACACATACAAACGCACATACTCGATCAAAAATAGCAGGACCAGTATGAAAGATAATTATCTAAATTACTCTTTATCTATCTAGGCTTTTAATTTTCTTTTGGCTTAATTGAGTTCATATAAGATGTAAGATAGAGTCGAATAGTATTCTTGGCCTAGTGTTAACGTGCGACTTTTACAGGAATGAGACTAAGCTCTGATGATATCCACCATATGATGGACGAAATGTCAGCCCGTTTTCAACCAAAACAGGGGAGGAGTTCTCGTGGACTGCGTCAACCTGGACGTCGTATAAAAGGCAAACGGCTGCAATACTACGGGATTCAACCAGCTTTTTCTGCTGAGTTCGACCTACGAATATCTTCTTCATGCACTATCCTACTAAATAAAAGTGCCCCAAACAATATAATTTCAGTAGATTCATCGAAACCCAGTTTCTCTTCCTATTTACAGGACTTAGAAGTTGAGCTTATCTTGGATACACAACGCCCTGCTTCCAAGTCTGCAAATGTTTAAAAAAAGCCTAAAGTTAATACGTCAATATCACACCTAGCCCCACAAGCAATATAATTTGTGAAATGTTTGGCTTGCCTCGAAAGTCGAATAATTTCCGAGTCCCACTGGCATCCGTTGGTCGTAAGATGGAGATTTCGCTACTTAATGTACACTATCCACCTTAGAGTCCCGTTTGAGGCCCCGATATGATGCGGATGAGGTGGAAACTGGAGTCCAATCCATAGGTTTATGCCTTTGCTAACTTCTGAGGATTCCGTAAGTCTTGTTGGAGACTCAGAAATCAATACTTTAATCACCTTAGGAATGCGAAGTTATGGTGAGTTCTTCTTCACGATCAACTGATATTTTCGAAACCTTATCAATTGGTCTATTTGGTATTTGTCAAAACGAATATGTCTTGCTTCCTGCATGCATGGTAATCTCCCTGGACCACTGCTAAATTGTTTGATTTATTCTAGCACCTTATAGAGAATTTCGGATTGAAATATTTTAGTTTTTCTGGCGAAAATACATACATTAAAGAATATAAATATATATTTTTTCTTCAGAGGCAATCAATTAACTGGCTTCTTTTGTATCTTCCTTCTTCTCTATCGGATCCACCTTTGGCTTGTCTTCAGCTGTCACTACTTCTTTTGATGTATCCTCTGCTTCGACCTCTGGAATGGTCTCTTTCACAGCTTCTGCATCATCCTCCTTCTTTTCCTCTGCATTAGGCTTATCCTCTTTACTCTCGTGTTTCTCCTCGGTGGGCTCATCTTGAAGAGCCAGTGCCTCCGTCTTTGCGAGGAACTCAGCATCTATAAAGAAGTTGCAGAAATATAATATTAGTATTTGAACGGGTTGCATTAATCACCAACTTACCAATTGCTTCTGAGTCGGTCATGTTTTCTTATCGGCTTGTGAATGAAGGAATCTGTCGACACTTTATCTTGCAGAGTGACCAGTTCTGCCCCATTTATATAATCGTTTCATTGACAGCCTCGTCTTCAAAAGCGACCAATCCGATGTGGTAGGAAGCAGGTCAGCCCGACTACATTACAGCAGCGTGACATTCGTCAAGAACGAACGCTTAAATGTAAATCTACGTGATTGTCTAGCCTTAATGTCAGCCAAGTCTTGTTACTATATGAAGCATGCACGGTTAATCATAAATTCAATTATGCCTTTTTTATGAAGTATTCTATCAAATTTGGGTACGGCAAATATCAAAATATGCAAACAAAGGATGTGATAGACATTTAAACCAATTTATTGAAGCAACAATGCAGAGTATTGTATTGTATTGCTAAAGTTCCCAGGCCAGTTTACGGCACTGTAAATCCATGCTTTTGTCAAATTATTTTATTTTTTTGTCTATCTTCACGACAAATTACGTTTAAGCTGATTCATGAAATAGTCACGAACGTTGCTGTGAGTTTCGTGTAGGGGCGGGAGCCCGTCTTGCCAGACCAAATTATACCTTTGGATGGCAACAAATCTCAAACTTGAATAACTGCCTTGTTTTGGCCTAAGTACCACGACTTTATGGATGAATTACATGTCCAAAGAATTCTTGAAGTCCTCCTTGCGGCAAAGAACCTGGCAGAGAGTCCAGTAGAGGATTTATTGGCTCATTCTAGTACTCGTACGCGTGGGTACAGCTAGACCTTTTAGTGACGTTGTTTTCATTAAACTTTTTTAATAAATTTTATTAGCTTGAAGTATACCCGCTAAAAGGTTGTACTTTAACTTGGTTCTTCGTAATCAGTTAGTATAAATTTAGTGAGTGTCTATCACAAGGATCATAACTTTAATACAAGCATTAATCACCTTAGGCCACTCAAGGTAAGTGAGGACTGAAATGAGTAGTATGAGATGTGCAAACCCTATTTTGTTTAAGGTGATGAAGGACTGGTAGTTGAATTTTCCTGCAATCACTGACTTTTCCATTGAATTTCACATAACCTCTTTTTCCAAAAGGAGTTCTCATCCAGAGTGAACTGCCGTTTTTACTTCGCCTAGGTCTTAGTAACACTCCCAACGTGAATCGAATCATGATAGTGCAGTGTGTAAGATCGACTAATTAACCACTACGTCACATTGCCACGAGTGCCCTTGGGTTACAGGGCAGATGAGAATTTCAGGGAA